GTCTGCGGCGGCATCCCAGAGCCCACGGGGCTGGATGCAGCTTGCACCAAATTGGAATCTTTGCAGAGACTTTTTGAACCGACCACCCCGGCCCCCCCTCTGCGGCCCCCTGACTTCCCTTCCCCTGCCCTGGCCGAGTTTCCCTCTGCCAAAAAAAACTTGCTCAAAGGCCACTTTCGGAACTTCACTCTCTCCTTTTGCGACACCTACACGGTCTGGGACTTGCTGCTGGGCATGGACCGCCCTGACAGCCTGGACTGCAGTCTGGACACCCTGCTGGGGGACCTGCTGGCCGTGGTGGCCAGCCCTGGCTCTGGGGCCTGGGAGGCATGTAGCAACTGTATTGAGGCATACCAGCGACTGGACCGACATGCTCAGGAAAAATATGACGAGTTCGACCTCGTGCTGCATAAATACTTGCAGGCAGAAGAGTACTCAATCCGGTCCTGCACGAAAGGGTGTAAGGTAAGAACTAGCGTCCGCGGCCACTAGGGCTGCCTGGGCATTTGCAGAAGAAGCAGTGGGACCAGGAGGAAAAAAAGATCTTCTCTACCCACCCCACCATTTCCCAGACACTGCGACTATCATCCTGGGCCCCTCCTTAGAGAAGGGGCCTCAGGGATTCAGGTCAGGTAATCGCTGGCCAACTTCTCTCAATTTCAGATTTGGACATTTTAGGGCTGGGGCTTCCTGGAGCCCTGCCCCCACATCCCCATATGAGAGAGGAGTCATGGGGCCCTGGGCAGGCAAAGGGTTGGAAGGAGAGGTTGTGCTCCCCTAGCCACGATGCTCAGCCAGCCATGCCACTCTCTGCGTGGATCAGAATCAGATGTCCTGGGACTGGCTGGTGCAAGGGGGGAGGCCAAAAGCCAAGAGCAATAATGGCTCACTCTTTACCTACTACCAATGGCAAGAAAAGACACACTCTTGGCAGTATGACATACCACACTATTTACCTTATATGCCCTGATGTGGCTGCCCAGAGCCAAGGCAGATGGAGACCAAGGGTGCCTCTTTTCTCCAAAGAGGGGCACCTGCACGCTTGTGTCCCCTGACAAAAGAAGGAGCTGGGAACTGGGCACACCAGCTTGTGGAAGGGCCACTGAAGGGTTGGTGCATTACTAAACTCCCAGTGCCTTCCCAGCATCCCAGGGTGGTGGTGGAAGGAAAGCTGCTTCTGCTAGGGACAGGGATCCTGAGGAGAGGAGAGGACAGGACAGGAGGGGAAGCCACAGAAGAGGCCTGCCTAGGGAAGAGCTGAGTATTGAGAAACTTCCTGACCCTCAGTAGGGTTGTTCTAGACAGTAGGTGGGTGGGAACTGTAAATCTCTGGTACCTGATGCCCCCACTCTGTTCTCCTGGCATGAGCAAGTGGCCTGCCTTTCAAAGGAAAGATAGCAGCAAGGTCAAAAAGAGACCAGGAGGAGACCAGGTAGTTGCACATTTTCAAACTGAGGGCTGAGAGCTGGAGAAGGAGACAGTTGCCTCCTAGTCTAGCTCATCTCCCTCCAAGGCTTTGGGGAAGAGCAGAAAGTGTCACCCTTTCATCCAGAGTGGTCCCATGGACTCGCGCAAGGTTTCAGTGCTCTTAGTGGGCTCCATAGGGATTTGAAGCAGAAGGTTGGGGATAAAAGGGGTAGCTCCTGGCTTCTGACTTCACTTTCTCCTTCTCCCTTTTCCTGTTCTCGTAACCTAGCAGTCTCCTCCCGCCTCCCTCAGCCTCAGCTGACTCACTGCCTCACTCACACTACCAAATGAGATATTCCACTTCTTAAAGGTGTATAGATGGATAGACACACACACACACACACACACACACAGCCATACACCTCACCACTACCCCAGGGCAAAGTCAAACAGTGATGGAGAGGTCATCACACCCACAAATGGTGCCATAGAAGCATACACTGTCACACACACCTGCGTGCATGCACACACACACACACACACACACACACACACACGTCTCTCCACATTGTCAGAGACATACTGTCACATGAAGAAGGACAATGTCTGCCATAAACACATACACTCAGGGAGCAGTGGGGTGGAATAAAGGATGCCTGTCTTTTTGTGGCTTTCCCTCCAATCCCATATCTCCAAACTTTTTGTTTTTTTCTCAATTACCAGTATGAATGAGAGCCTTGCCACAACTTTCCTGTGAGTTTTTTTTTTTAATGTTATAGTCACCTGAAAACTCCATTTGGCCCTGTAGTAAGTAATAATTCTGCACACTGATTATTTTACCCAGCGATTTGATGTAGAGGAAAACAATTGATCTCCCTGATTCAGGGGACCTTATCAACTTCAACAGTTTGTTAGCAGTGTGACCTTGGGCAAGTCATTTCACTTCTCTGAGCTTTCTTTTGCTCATTTGTAAAACAACACTAATAATCTTTATTCTGCACACATCCTGGGTCTTTTGTGAGACAAGTGGGAAGATAATATTCTATAATGAGAATTCAATATCTGACTTTTTAGGGTTTTCAAGTCCTTTCACATGTGTTAGAGGTTCACAACCACTCCAAGAGTTTGGTAATACTAGAACCTTTATGCCCATTGTACAAATTAGGAAATTGAGGTGCAGAGAGATCAAGCAGTTTGCCCTAAATTTGCTCAGCCATAAGCAGCAATATCAGGACTCCAACCTGCATGTTCCAGTTCTAAGCTCCTACTTTTGCCCTGGGTTCCCATCAGGTTCCACATGCCCCCCACCTCCTTGTCTTCTTGTCTCTTTCTCCTCCAAGCAAGCGAACTCCTCTTGCTCTCTTGCTGCCTGCTATGCTATCAAAGGGCAGTGTCAGCTCCACAGTTCCATTCCTGTCTTTCCCACCTCTTCTAAAACTCTCTCCCTCACCTGAGGCCAGGATCCATAGGGTTCTCAAATCCAGCTGTATTATCAGTACTAAGGGGAAGGACAGCCCTGTTCCTTTCCTTCCTACACCTTCCTCCCCTCATCCCCTCCATCCGTCTCCTACTCGGGCTTTCTTTCTAATCCTGAGCTTGCTCCTGGGCCCCAAGCCTCTGGTCCAGCCTGTACCTTAAGTGGGATCCCTTCAGCATGACACCCACTACTACAGAGCTTCTCCTGAGTGCAAAGCCCGTGGCCCCAGGCCACGATGAGGAGACTTCCTCTACTTCTGGAAACCAAACCTGGAGCCTTGGTTCCAGGGCCAAGTGAGCCCCTATCCCCAAGGCCCTTGTTCTGAGTGCCTTAGATCCTTAACGAGTAGCCCCAGAAACTCAGTTCTGTCCTTCTTCGATTTCTGCCTGTTTGGGGCCATGCAGAGCCCCACAAATTATACCTGTCCTCACTGCTGCCTGTGACAACTCCCAATTTAGTACCAACTGCAACATTTCCTGAAAGTGCGACTTACTTTCTTGCACAGCAAGGCAATGTTAACCCAGGAAGACCGATGCCCATCCCCACCTTGGTTTCTCCCAACTCCTGGGCTCATGTCCCACCCTTCTCATCTCTCATGCACACCCAAGGCCTAATCCTCTCTAGGCTCTGTCTGCTTACCCCATGCCACCTCACCCCACGTCCAGCCCTTCATCCTTCTAATCCTGCCACGCCCATGCCTGGTTCTAATTGCCTCTTCATTAACTCTGCCTCTTTCTGCTCTCAATTCTGGACATTAGACCAGGGAAGTGGTGGAGGTAGAAGCCCCTTCTTTCATTGTTCTTCATTCAGGAGAAGGCTAAGGGCCCAAAGGGATGAGGACAGTTTCAGCCATCAGTTCACATTGGTCAAGATTAGAGCCAATGAAGGGTGTCAGAGTTCTGCTCTATCCTGGACTGACCCAAATTCACCTGACAGACTTCGTGTTTGGTTCTGGGTCTCACACTGACGAGGTTAAGGAGGAGGAGGCTGACATTCAAGTTCCCCTGGAGAGAGTTGAAGCTGGAGGAGACTCAGAAGAATATGGTCTTGGACTTCACATATCAGAAGAGTTGTGCTGGTATGAAATAAGCATATCTTGTCAGCCCCAGAGGGACTTGGTAGTTAGAAGTCCTGGGTTCAAATCTTGATTTTTATCAATTACCTGTGTGACCTTGAACTCGGGACTTCAACTCTTTGAGCCTCATTTTTCTCATCTGTAAATGGAGCTAATTCATCAGCACAGCCCTATGAGGTTATTGTTAATGAGAGGACTGTAGAGGATCTAGGCCTAGCCCATCAGTCACTCACTCCAGTTTTTTCCCTCCAAAGAAGGAACAGACTGCCTTAAGATAAGGTAAGCTCCTACTTCCAAGAAATGTTTGGCCTGATTCAAGTGGAACCCTGGGCAGAAATGCCACGGAAGTGACTAGGACCAGATTTGGGGGAGAATTCAAACAGGTGACCTCTGAGGGCTATTTCAGACTAGAGTTTAGGCCCACGGGCAGAGCCTGTTCCCTGAACATCAGCATTGGATGGGGAGGGCTGGGGGAGGAGGCTGAGCCTAACACCTACACATGGGAGAGGGTGGGGGGCTGCCAGTGCCTCGCCTTCTGCCCATATCCGCTAGGGCCCTGCTTTTCCTCCACTCCGCCTGGCAGCTGTTTCTGTCTCACTGCCTTCCTCTCTCCTCCCACCTGCCACAGCTTTCCTGCCAAGCAGGACTCCCAAGCTAATGCCGGGTATGAAGGGTTTTAAGAGCAGGGAGCTTGGGACACTGAGCAAAGAGCCGGAGCTTCAAGTTGGCCAGGGGTCCCTGTTGTCACTCAGGCTAACAGGCAGGGAGCCTTGCCCCAGTGGCATGCTCCCTGACCCAAGACCCTTGCAGCTGGCCCCTGCTTAGCGTTGGAGGAAGGCCAAGCAGTCAATAAGCAGCCCCTGGGAAGCATGGCAAAGCCAGCCTTAGGGGAGAGGCCTCCAGATCCACAGAGCTCATCTCTTCATCACCAAGGAATATGGGGATGGCGTTCTGGGAAGGGGCAGGAACTGGGAATCCTGGAGCAGGAACAGTGAAGAGGCATTATTTATGGCTAGGGCAAGGACATAGTGGGATAAGGCTGGGAATGGGAAAGCTGGTCTCAAGCTGAAACACATCTCTGCAGACCCCTCATCCCATCCCCTCCCACTCTTACCCCAAGCCCACGTTCCTGCCACATTTTAGCCTGTAACCTATCACTTCTATCTACATACCAGTAACCGGCACAATGTACCCAGTCTTTGATTTATCATCCTCGACCAGTGTGATTTAGAGCTTTCAATGATGACAAACAGCCAGCTGTGGCAGGTGTGCCATAGGTTCACCACCACTGCCCTAGACCCCTTCCCAAACCACACCACACATCTCATTCACTAACCTTTATCTGTATCCCTGCACTCCTCTGCTCCTTCCAAAATTTACCTCCACCCCTCCCCACCCTGATCCTTTATCCCACTCTCACTCTGCTCCTCTCTGCTAATTAGCTCCTTTCATCCCACTCCCCAGTCCCATCTCCCACCTTACACCCCTCCCAACCTTTACCCCAAG